ACATCACATTCCAGAAAATGGATTTTTCCTCTCTTGAGCCCGCGGGTTACTTGTCGAATCTAGGGCCTATTACTCCGAGTTAGCTGCTGACACTTTGGTAAAGTTGAACAGGGCACAACTTGGCTTGCAGCTATCGGGACCATAAACTAATAACACAAGAGTGAAGTCTTCACTGCTTCCTGCAGGCTAGCGGTATACTTGTTATGACGAAAATACACTTCTACACAACAGTTAGCTGTCTAAACTGACGTCTTTTCATAAATACATTCCAAATCTTCCGTCATTACCTAATCTATAGCGTGGAGATATATTAGAAATCTTACCAGTACGCTATAGCCAATGCATGAACACATTATACGGATCCTACTGGGTAATTTACATGACGAAGAACTAAATCAGCTACCGCAGTATTTCAGTCATGCTTTAAATGTCTCTATACGGGGCAGTTTTTCTTTGTTCTGGTACATTATGTAGGAGAATTCTCCCCTTCAATAATGTGATATTACTTTCTATATATTTGGTGGATGGGGTATTTGCGTGCGAATCACGTTTTCTTTGTCTTTATCTTTATGTTCATCAGATGAATGTGCTTTGATCACCAAGATGTTCCACGTTCCATGTCATTGTTGATGGTTATTTGAGATGAGATATTGTCTTCCTCCCATACGCATGGTCACTTGAAACCCTTTTATAATTTTCTGTAGGAGAACAATTAGTAATGCATTGTACGATCCTCAACTTACATTTAAGCAAATCTCCTGCATAATTTATAACATATTTCTTACTAAACAAGATATCTGATGAAACAGTTACATTTCATTGAACATTACAATGAAGAGAAGATTAACCATAGACCAATAAGAAGAATTTCACAATTTGTGAAGTATAAGTATTACAATCTGTGCTGTATTAACCTCATTTAATCGAAAATAGCTCACAATTTTGTTCCATGTGGCGAAAGTAGGTAGAAATTGGACACTAAAGCTAATCAGACACCTGGCACTTTATTGCTAAAAGCAGCTAGGTCCTAGCTCTTTGTCATCTGATATCTGGTTCGTAGCGTTACAGAGCAAGATATAGCGTGGTGTGAATACGCTGGCAAAGTGCTGAACGTGCTATAAGATTACTTGCCGGTACGTACTTGTATTCATTTACGATATACAAGTTCCTGATCGTTTAAACATTGCAAAACGTTCCAATAATGTGAGGGTTTGGTTTTATGCTGGATTCAGTAGTATTCCACGAACATCACAGCAATGGCATCAGAGATGAACCCCCCCCCCCCCTCTCTCTCTCTCTCTCTTTCTCTCTCTCTCACACACACACACACATGGCTAACCATTGGGGTATGAGAGTTAGAATGAATCATGTTAGATGCTTAGATTCGTGGCCTAAATTTTGGTCAGTGAGACCACTCGTTAGTTTCAACGACCTGCAGCTTGTAAATGGTCTTGCCTTTCCATACTGCGACCTATAGATATAGCTGACAAACACTACTACTCCTTTCACTTGCTTTAATTGATCGGGTTGTAATACGTATTGTCTTGGTTGACATCGTGGCGTTGTGGTAGCCTAGTGGTTAAAGCGTTGGCTCGTCACGCCGAAGACTCGGGTTCGATTCCCCACATGGGTACTATGTGTGAAGCCCATTTCTGATGTCCCTCGTTGTGATATTGTGGGAATATTGCTAAAAGGGGCGTAAAACTAAACTCACTCGCTCACGCAAACAATTCCAATCACAAGTATAATTGGTTTATATATTAACACCAGAACAATCTCAGAGTTTATAGAGTTTAGGTGTGTGTTGCTATGTTCACACTTTCAATTGCATCACGACGTGAACTGTTAATGTGGAAGGGAAATAGAAAAAACGCATATCATTACAAACAATTCAAAACGTCAAAACATATATATTATTAGTATTAAATATCTGTGTGGACACAAGAAGTTATGCATGGCGAAAGACATTTCACATGAATCACAAAACGATTCCTTCTTCCTGTCTAGACAGTGACTTGATAGTATTTTCCCTGCAGTAGACCACAGCCTTTAATCTATTGATTATTTACGATATGACATGTAATCGATTTATGTTTACTCTGGGTGGTATATTTGTTGGCGATGATGCATTATTCGCTCCAGTTGACTGACATTCTCTTAGTCTGACTTGTCTGAGCATGAAGTGAACATGTCTCCCATCATTCCTTAGACTGACGGACTATAAATTCACTCTGGTGCCTTCGTAAGCCCAAGGGACTTCAATTTGGCAATGATGTGTTTGATCCTTGAGACTAAATATCCATTACTTATCACGAAAGTAGCTTTGCGGAACCAGAATCTATTCTCAGTGCGATGGCACTAATAGGAAATGGAAATAATTCTAATATCATTTGTAAACATTTCAGTTATATCAAAGCTACTAATGAGATACTGCACATGCATAGCTATCATTTATTAATAACGTAGACTGTATCAATATTACAAATGAATTTTCTCTTAAAGCTATACGTTCAGGATTATGTTTTAAACCATGTAAATTTTGATAAAAAAACCATGGAATTGTGGATATGAAACCTTTATCATGCTGAATAGCTTACAAGACAATAAATTCAAAACGAATTTGTTTTATTAGATGAAATTCTCAAGTGACATGTATCAAACTTTCTTCAAGCAATCTTTAAACAGTAATCAGATAATACCTTTTTTAAAAATTTAGTGACATATATTGCGAAATTTGCAGTTGTGGGATCACATATTTGTCTAAGTATTGGGGAGTATTTGGTTATATTGTATGCCATAATCATTTTTCGCGGATTATATCCAGAAGGAACACCATTTAATAATGAGTCGTTCTGTAATATTTTTCATGACGTTGGCGCTGTATTTTGGAAAATACGGAGAAATGGGATGTTATGAATCATATTAAACTGAATATGTCCCGTTGTTTAGGAAATTGACATGCTATACATGTATATAACGACTGAATTTTACTTAAAATATCTATTTCGCAACATATAAACCAACAAAACCGTTTACATAATATCATCACTTTCTTGTTGATCGACCGTCAAAGACAAGCAATGCTATTTTGCTCCAATGGTTGCGAGTCAACGACCAAGAAATTGTAGCCTGCTCAGCTGCTAGTTAGGTAATGTTATTTCATGGGTACGTAAAAAACCCATGATTTTTTGCTTTATGACAATCTATTTTGAACTTTTCAAATGGCGACAACAGTCGAACACAGGTAATTAAAGATCTTGTTACAGTGCCTTGACCAAAGCATATATTTCATATACGAGTGGAAAATAGAAGTAATATATTCTCACGAAACTAATGCCAGTGTTTTGTCGTAAAAATATAAGCCCTCGCATAATGGAGCTTTTAAACTGAAAGTTGTTGATTTCTTTATACTTTGATGCCTGAAACATAAGTTTCAGTAAGATGTTACTGATACGTCAGTATGATGTTAGTTATTGATACCGGAATCCTTGAAGTGACAGCGGAATCCACGTAGTCCTTTATTCAGTATTGGATGAAGGACCTTTACATCAAGACGTCGACATTAACGAGGCAACGCTAGCATAAACTTAAAAAGTACAAACTAGTTCACCTAATGTCCATCGGTACAGGGCAAAAAGAATGGTATCTGAAAGCCTATTTTATTCATACCGCCTAAAAAATAGGGTCGGCACCAGAATTCAAGGGTCGGTCGGGTAAAAGGAACCACAACAGGCCTTAAGAGAAATGGTTGACTGCAAAGCTAATGCCTACGAAGAGCAATTATATCTTCAAGTGGCAATTAGGCAATGAAGTATCCATAGAGTCCTTATATTTCATTCGATGCTACTATTTAGCAAAGGTACTGGTACCTTTATTTATCAGTTCGAAATTAATTACTCAGTTTTAATTTGAGTAAACACCATGTTATCAATGAACATTGAGTGTACGTGTGAACACCTCACTACGGCACTGCCTTGTAATCAGATAGACATAATTTACCCATCTGTGAATGTTATGGAAGAGATATTGCTGTAAAATAGTGACGTACATGCATTTAAGTCTGTGTGTGCTAGCTCGTACTCGTCCGACCCAATGACAGTTTATGGTGCTAGCCCACTATGAAATACGTAATTTTACATGGATATGTTACAGTAAATGTGTCAAACCAGGAAATGTGTAAATTTCCTGGAATATGTATTTGTGCGCTCAGAACCTTTTGCCCATGGTTGATGTACAAACTGACAAAGAAATTGGACTGCGTCAAGCTGTGCAACAAGAATCAATATGTAGTGGTTAAGGATACACTAAGTGCAATTGTGCGCAAAGTGCTAATTATAAGCAGTGCAAAACCATCAAATGGAGATGTTACAAAGCAGGACTTAAGTGTAATAGCCGTTGTCATTCAAGCTTGAATTGCCACAATAAACTGATGTCCTTTAAATCGAACTGTATTATTTGAGATAGCAAAAAGTCACATCAGGAAATGTGTAAACAAATCAGGCCCTCAAATCAGGAAATGTGTAGGGATATTTAGGAAATGTGTACATTAACTGAGTGAATCAGGAAATGTACACATTTCCTAAATTTCAAGGAAATTTACACATTTCCTGATTTGACACATTTACTGTAACATATGCACTCCTAACCACAGTATAATGGCTCCGTGCCACGCGTCCCCTTGATGCCAACCATCTGTAGGGGAACAACACATTCCAAACGTTCTTTGATTGTCTCAGCCAGGAATCGAACCACTCAAGGCTCAACGTTACTGCTGTAGTGTTGAACAAGTTTTATAATAGATAAGAAACATTGTCCTGCGTCTATTGATAAACCACGTATCACTTACACTAGTCACATGTAACAATATTGAAACCAAATGCAACCTATGTTCTTGTGATACTTTTGATATATTCTAATATGAACCCCGCCATATAGCGGGAATATTGCTGAGTGCGGCGTAAAACTAAACTCACTCACTCTAATATGAACCCACGTTTCAGGTGCCTACCGTATATCAACGCCCTGCCCTGTCGTCGCGCTGATATTAGGATTCACTGCCATCATATTCCACGTCACGGGGACAATCAGGAGGAACTCCAAAACATTAGTAGCTGGTGTGCTGTACATACTGTCAGGTAAGATGTTCTCACTGATTCAGTGTTGCTTTACAACTTTGACACAGTGGCGTGTCAGTTATCGAAACTGGACAAGAAAATCGGTCGCAGACAAATGATCAGCACCGTCCCGAATCATTACACATTAGTCTCCCTTGGCCTCACCAGGAAGCGCAGACATTGACGAGGTCCGATTACAATCCTCTGTTTACCAGCTCAATACCCGTGGTGAAAGTATTCTGTTGTAAATTTCATGTGTCAAACGCAACTTTTGTCACTTAGAATTCTGTACATACGTAATGCGTGTAGTATTTACTATCTTACTATGTAAATGTATATTCAAATATTGATTGTCACAAGGATTCGCACAGACAATGTGACACGCGTCAATTTACCGAGAGCTTATTACTGTTACATTTCTATAGCAACGTGTATCTTTGGTTCACGAAAAAAAGAAGATAATTTCGTTTTTCATCCACATCCATTTTGGTACATCATTACCGTTTAATAAAGATATATTGTAGTTTTAAAACAATGCCCGTCAGCGAACAGGGAAAAATGACCCCTGGAATAAGGTGACTAAGAGATGCAATATGGTTCTGGACACAGTTCGGAAATGAACGGATATCCAAGCTGAGACTAGTAATCCCATTTCATTCTGGAGTGAATTAGCTTAAGGACAAACAATCCGGCCTCCGTGACAAAGGTCGGAATCTCAATGTGAATTGTTCCGAGTTAATCCCCGGGTTTTACAGCGAGACAGGTGACTGCTTTAGACTTAATTAATGGTGTGGAAGTCGTCCCTCTCCTTCATTACGTGCATAAATTGAATTAGTATGTAATACGACATTGATATCACCGATGCATTTGTTTATAATCTGTAATTGTTTTGCCCGGCGGTAATATATGTATACAGATGCTTGTATGAATGTAGAAACCAAAGAACAGTTTTGTCCTGCATTGCACAGAGTGAGTGAGTGAGTGAGTTTGGTTTTACGCCGCTTTTAGCAATATTCTAGGAATATCACGGTGGGGACATCAGAAATGGTCTTTATGAGGAGAATCGAACCCGGGCCTTCAGCGTGACGAGCGAAGGCTTTAACCACTAGGCTACCCCACCGCACCTGCTCTGCACATATAATTTGAAGGTGATGTCGAACTTTAGTTCCTTGCTGCATAGACAACATATGGTGTTTTATGCATTGAAATACATAAAGTACAACATTATGAATTTACGTACTTCATATGATATTTATCTAGTTAAGAATATGTTTATATAAGTAAAATATATCAAAGTAGGTTAAGAAATGATAGTGAATAGTCCTATTTCAAACTGAATCATGAACAGGTATTTATGAATCCCTTTTAAACTTGATACAAACTGTTCACCAAAATGTGAGCCTATCCTTCCCTGGGGCACACATCTCTAACACATGGAGAGGCGGAACACTGTATGTTAGCTAACCTTGACCACTTCAAGTCTAAACTGTAGCCGGTGCTTTACGTGACTATATGTCTCTGTACATAAACTGCAACAAACTGGTATATAAGAAAAAATACCTTAAATTTACAGTTAGAAATGGGTTTCGAATGTCCTAGACCAAACTGAACAGGCTAGGATTGCCAAATACACAGAGCCAAGTCTACCTTTAAGGTACGAAAATGATTTATGCACAGATAAAAACGTTTCCATCTTCTTCAATCGTAACACATGTAACTACATTTTTTGCCGACGGTCGAAGTAAATGTCAGTGTATATCAGTAAACCAGATGTCACGTCCACCATAAAAACTACAAATGCGTGCTGTTATTTCTTGACATCATGACACACTGTGATATCTGAAAGTTTTCTGCTTGAAATTGTAACAGAATATCTTCCCGGCATAAACCTGCTCGTCTTTACAGCACCGAAGACGTCATTTGTTTAAACAGTCAACGTGGATCTATACACCCATAGGTGCATTTAGTCGATACCAAAGAGATAGTAATAGTCGATACACAGTTATGCACAAAGGAAACCTAGACATGCCTAACTAGAACACACTGTTCATACTGTATTTAGTAATTGCATATTGTGAAAATGGTCACACCCCCCGTGCTAACTCGACTGCCTGCGTGGTCTAGGAGACAGAGAGTCTGACAGGAGAGATAAAGGTCGGTGTTCATTCCCAGCTGCGACTTTCTAAAAGAAGTTGAAATATGGTTTTGTTTGCTTATACTCTGCCTTAAATGCGCTCGGATTTAAAACAAGGGCTGGTGAGCTCGGGTCAGTTTAAATGTGTATCAGTGGACTATTTAGGATACATTGCGGTGTGTTGGGTGAACAAATTACAACCGCTGTTTGCCCGACCTGTTGCGGTAGGACATACACGCACGCACGCGCGCACGCGCGCACGTATGCACGCACGCACACCTAAAATGTCAACCCCATTCATCAGACCTCACCTGTATGAAAGTTAGGTCCTTGAACCCCACATTGCTTCAAGGATAGGAACGTTTATTGATACATGATAAAACCGGAATACGATGGAATGTCTCCCAAGGGAAGACATTCAATATGCATCGTTTCGTTTGGTACAGAACCTAGTGAGTGAACTGTATAATACTGCAACATTATTGCGAGGGCACGATAAAGTATGGCAACACAGAACTACTGCAGGGAACGCCATGATAACGTCTGAGCACCTCCAGTATGGTAAATTGACAAAGACTTGATCCTGTGAGAGACCGAGCTCAGCGCGAGGACGCTGTAAAAGAAAATCTAGAATATGTTTCTTTCCGCCACTCTTTCTACGCATTTTTCGCTGACTACTCCAGACCTTGGCAACTTCAGAATGACTTTAACCACGGCAACACATCCAGACAATGAGTATTGCAGAGCTTCAAACATAGAGGAGAATATTTTCAAGTACCTCTGTACTTTCTGACAAACCGATTTCAATGTGACACCAATCCAATCAATACGTCTATTGAGAGAAGGCGATTAGTGAACTGGACTGTACCACCTTCTAATAAATCTAGCCAGCTTTTGAGTTTCTATTTTGGGGTGGGACATTTAACTTGGAAATAATTAATCTTCGCTATTGACTTATATGTCTCATTTCGGATGGGATTCAATCAAAATGGTGGTTGACGTTCTTGCAATATGCAAGGACATTTATTCAATATTGAGATGTTTGCTTTTATAAACCTCAGACACATGACAGCACGACTAGTATTCCAGACGGCCAGACAGGGGGCACATAAGAGAAAATAACATTTGTGACTTAATAAATCAATCAATATTTGCAATTGTTTTCATGTCTGTTTTTTTGTACGGATTAAACATGCATCTTGACTCTATAAGTTGCTAGCTCAATACCCGAGTTATTATATACTATATGGACAGACGACCTGTATACACGATGTGGGCAGTGTATAGAAAGGTTGAAACGACATATAGGTATGACTTTCTCTGATCGTAGGGTCCCTAGTATGGTGATCTACCTTCAGTTGTTGGCGATTACTAGTCCATTTTTACATTGTATTGTCCAAAAATAGTTTTTCTACTTTAAAGATATATGCTAGCTAGTTTTAACTGATTTTGTGATAATCTAGTAATTTTACTGTCCTTTGTTGACAGGGTTTTATATATTATATGTAATATGAATTGAGAACTAGTTTTAGTCACGATATGACTGAGATATTGCCGAGGTGACTTTAAATTTTAACTCACTCACTCACTGATCGTAGTCCACTACAGGTAATTTCATGATACGTCATTGCAAAGAACTTGAAATCGAATCGAAGTCTCAGTCATATAGTCACGAGCAGTATATGGTTGGATCAAAGAAAATTAGTGATGGCACAAGGTGCTCCATTTACACAGTGCTCCCACATTATGTTTACCTAGGTGGTAAACAAATCCACATTGTGGACCTTTGTTCTGGTATTACTGGGAACTTCCATAAATAATTAAAGTGAAAATGCAAGACGATTCGTTTATCTAGAAAGAGATTTATGCTGTCTTGAAGGCATTTCACAGTGTAAAGAAATACAGTGCTGTAGAAAGGAAATTAGTAATAGATTCTGAACTATTACGCACTTTGAAACAACAAAGCATACAGCTTAAAATATACCCATAACACTATCTCTGCTTTCAGTTGATTCACATGTACAGGCCTACGATACGATCTGGAGAAGATTTGTACCTGAAGTTTCTCTCACACGAATATCGCCGCACTTACGACTAAAACAGAGAGCAGTACAACTAAACTAAAACTCCAAGTGGTGCCGCAACTATAAATATCTGATAATTAAATTGTGTCGAAGGCGTTGGTGACGATACACAGACCTATTTATAACGTCACATTTTTCATCCCAATGACAGAAGATCGCTTCTATGCAATTTCCATCTTTTAAAGCTCGTGTTCGTAAAACCCATCGTGGGAAATTGTTCCCATCGGGACACAACAACAAAGGGTAACAAAAGAGGCAAATGTTTGTCATTCACGGACTTCAGGGAAAATATTAAAAATGAAACTCATATCAGGCACCAACCACTCTGCTTTATGCTGCTTTAATAATGAAAGTGAAAAGTCCTCACAGGATTCCTTTGCTTACATTAAGTAATTACAATTACTCCAAACATAGTAAGGAAACAGAATTGTCTGACGCCATTTCATTGTTGCACTGTTCGCAAATGTGGTCCTCTTTGTCCCAAATGTAATGTACTAAACGGCAGTCCGTAACGTTTTCAAAGGATCCCTGGAACATTTTGTTACCTGTTTCATACTCCTGGAAAAAAATGTCAACACTGTCTCTTATCTTTTTCAAATATGATGACCTTGGGTATCTATTATAAATCATATTATAACCTTAATTGATAGAGGTCCAAGATACCAACGATGAATCGTGGGCAGTTGGTCAAGAATGATGTTATGTTCCTCAGAAGGTCGCAAGCGATGTGCCATAATTTACATGGGCACGGGAAGCAACTAAAAAGGTTCTCAGATTAATATTATGGAGCAGGTACGAAAGGTGTCATCCGTGTTTTCGTGTTTGAATATGAGTATTGTCGCTTGCAAACAAAATAAACTCTGTTGGACATTAAATTGAAAAAGGAATACAATTAAAAATATGTAGTTGTAGCTTGTAAATACTAAGCATATATCCACGTGGGGATACAGTTGGAAATTTAGATGTAGGGGATGGTGAGAATCATCAAGGCATATCTTCTGATTCATATGATATCGTCAAAATGGGAATGATAAGATCGTATTTGTTGGAGAAGAGGTGATCAGGTCCTTGGGGTTCTATGTGCTCGTATGATGGCATGTTGGCACACAGGTCGTTGGGCAAATTCGAAATTTACATTTTGTAGCATTTTCACTCATACCGGGTATAAAAACATTTGTTGGCATGGCCTGCACGCATCGAGTCCACCAATGTTATCTTAAGTAATGTTGTTCAACTCATCAGTGAGAACAGCCCTGAATTACTTTGCGAGTGGTCGGTGGATGTCGACGTTGACGTATGCCAGTGACGTCCCAGTCGTGGCTTGATATGGATGTTTTACTGTCAGAGGAATTGGGGCAGAATATTGGCACGGTGAGCTTTATTATCCGAAAAGATGAAACGTGGCTTAATGCCGTTCTGCAAGTGCCACCCCGAGTAGTAATAATCTGATTCTGCCATGGAGGATATGGAAAGCAGTTCTGCCGGTCATTGAGATGCCAGCCAATACGAATATGGACCCAACACTCAAACGATCGTGCCGTTCGACATTAATGTCCATACACCGCTCATTAGGACGTTGTAAATTTCGATTGGTCAGAAAACATGACGTCAGCCAAACGTCGATTACTACAGTAATGGCGTTCATTCACAGCTCTGATGTCTATGATTCAAACTTGTGAGACGACACGTGGAGGTTCGTGCACGCAAATGTCATCCGTGAAAATGATTTCGCGTGTACTCTTACCAGGTGTTTGTTGCAATAGGTCCCTCGTGTGAGTGGCAATTAGCTATAGATCTTTTTATACCATCGTTCTGACGAACCTCTCCTGGACAGGAGTTCTTGCCCGTGGGTGTCTAGAGCAGCGGCGATCGTCTAGAGCGTGTTTTTGTTGGTATCTGTTGATGGCATACTGATAAACATGCAGCCTTTGGACATGAGCGCACATGCAACATGCTTATTGCACGTTATTGTTCAACACGTTCCCAATGTCATTCGATCAATATTGCTATTTCCTGGTTGGCTAAATGATTTATTTGATAACGTGACGTCATACAGCTGCGTCAAAGAAAACAGTAACGTCTGCTCTCAACCGACAATGAGTAACATGATCACTCTTACATAACACCACATGTACGTGCTGTCCGAGGTCACGTGCCTCATAATTGTTAAAACGTGTTTTGGAGCTTCTTATGCAAGAGTGGCATTTTTCCCTAGATGTTCCTCCGCTGTCTTTCTATAAGTCCCGTAAATCTCTGTTGACCTGTGAAATATATTTATCATTGAACATAAGTAAAAAGTGCAAGCGCCTGTTCACATTATTTAGATCAGGATGTAATGCACTAGATATCAAATATATTAGAAGAGGTACGCCTCTTGTAATGATGATATTGTGTTATGTAAACACTGTAAAAGTATTGAGGATCAAATTCATATTGTTTATATTTGTAAACGCTATGAGGATACGCGTCGGCGTTACATTCCCAAAACGGTCCATGGATATTATTATTCACTCCACGGCATATGTACATCATCCGACATTAACATCATAAATAATTTTGTCAAGTTCGTAGAACATGTTTCTTCTGCTCCTGTTAGCGTTGTTGCATGAAAATGGTAACCAAAATCGCTATTGTACCACCTTGTACAATGGGTCGTATGACCTTTAAACAAAATTAACCCTTCTTCTTCTTCTTCTTATTCTTTGGAGCTTCATTTAGCCCTAAATGATAACCCAAGATATATCTCATGCTACGATTGTATATCTTCTCATGTATGTATGTCTACACACACAACCTATAGCACCATTACTTTACTGGTAGTGACACCAAAACAGTCGAAATGTCAATGGCACAAGCCAACATTATGTTATAGTGCTGCTATAGACACGCGTGCTATCTTTAACAATGGATGACGTGACAATGGCGTACTTAATGATCCTCTAGACATCGAGATAACAAGCATCGTTAGGATTCCGGGTTTTGAGAGGTCACCTGTATTTCATATTAGATATCGCCTGCTGATGAGGGGCAGCTACTTTCAGATGGGCAAAAGAAAGTGTAAACTTGGAAACTGGGCTTGACCCAAACCTAACGAACGTTATTAACAGGGGCGGATACAGCTTTTTGAGAAGGGTTGTTTTTTTTGTTGTTGTTGGTTGGGGCACACTTCAATTTCACAAGTGTTTCTATGGTCATTTAATAAACTTTCAGGACAAAAGGGGTTTCCGAAACAAGGTTGAAAGCAGTAATCGTACAACTGAAACGAACGGTCAAAAACAAATTGTGAAACCAGTAGCAAATACACCATCATTGAATAACTATTTTTTGTTTGTTTCACCTTTAGACCAAATCACACTTGAGTGCATGGTTCTTTTGTTTTGCAGTTTAGTTAGACGCAATTCTCCGATATGCTGTCACATTCTTCTTTGAGAGGCATTTAGAAGTTGGATCAATAAGGAAGGATGACAATATATGGATGAACAACTTCTTTATTACTGTGAGCGCGACGTTTCTGTGTAGGTTCTAACACCGTTATCAAGCAAGTGATCCGTGAGCAAGCAAACAAGCAAGCATCACAAGCTTGATCACGGTGTTAGAACCGACACTCTCACTGTAATAAGTTGTTCATTCACGTATTGTCTTCCTTCCTTGCTGTCACATTCAGTGTGCCTTGTCTGGTATCGATGAGGTACACATTGACTTATAATAGGTTAAATAATGCTTCGGCTTATAACAACATTCATTTACTACATCGTATTAACGAGGTTATAGAAATTGCTGATATCGATTTACACAAACAAATACTGTTACACCGTTAAGAACGTGAAACGCACTGCCTTAGTGGTTTGCTTGGCGTTTTCATCAACGCTATTGCGATGTATTCATCAAGCCAATTCTTGCAGTTACCCAAATGACCATATCTCTTGCGCAGAGTCACAAACCTGTTCAACGACTCGCATTCCATCAATCTATTTCATTCCGACTGCTAAATTAGGTGATTCCGCCTGTCATATTAGACCCCAGCTTATCTCTGGATTATTTAGATCCGTAACGAGAAGCGATATTAGTTTAGACAAATTGGTTCGGTCTTGACCGTTTCTCGCGCGATATTATAACAATTGATCCATAGGATCTTAATGATGGTTTCAATATGATAATAAAGCAATTAGATTCTCAAACTGTCAGTCATTATTTGGATATTGTTAAAGAGTATCCCAATATAAACGATAATTGTTTTTACAGTTAAAGTGACATTCAGGATTCGGTGATGTTTCAATCCATAACTTTCATCCACGTACATACGGAAGAAGATACTCTCGATTCCAAGAAGACGTCTTTGGGCTATGGGCACCATTCGTGCAGACCAGCTCCCTCATACGCTAAATGAAACCGTTATTTGGTCCATAAATACACTTTATATGTTTTTGTATTATATTAGATACGTATTATGACCTCCCGTTGCACTTGCAACGAATCCTACAGTGAAACTAAATAGAGCCTCTTTCAAGACAGAGTGGGCATTTGTACCATTTATAGTTTTCCTTTCAGTAGCAGGGCAATGAGAGGTCCTGTTTGGGTGTTGAAAATACAACTCTTGATTTGTGGGTTTTAATTAAGATGTAATGACGTTTTGTCAGTGTAAACATGGGGAAGGAACTCGGAATGCCTGTCCAACTAGACAAAGTGGGTAAACAAAGTACGCAATCTTAATGCGTATATATCATAAAGGAAACCAGTTGACCTATTTCTGTCTGGAGCAAGTTTACCAGCAGACCGAAATAGATGTAAAGACGTCTAATGAGGTACTGCGACTAGCTCAAAAGTCTACGTTGGCCGTTACATGCTGCAAATTACCGTTTTGTCCAACAGATTCTTTACAAAGAAACATTCCTTCATTCACACATTCATTTTCTCAACGTTCTGCAGATAGTGTTTCAGACTTTGTAAACATGGTCGTCACAGACGAACCTTTTCATGCCCATTTTCTATATTTCAGGTCTGGTTTTGGCCGTTGGGATAATACTGTTTATTTCTGCAATCAACGATGAAGTTGGACATACAACCACAAAGAATTTCCCGTTTTCCTACAGGTATGGTTGGTCCTTCTTCATAGCGGGGCTGTCCTTTATCGCCTTGGAGCTGGCTGCTGTCGTCTGCGTTACAATTTTCTTACGCAGGCATTCGAAAATGTCGGATATGATCCAAATAATTCCTGGATTGGAAGAAAAGATAGACACGGCTTATGAGAAGACCGAGCAGAAATGCCCTGGGCAGGAGGATCACAGGATGCTGTATATGGGCTGATACTTTGTTATTGGTCTTCATCTGTGAATGTGGCGCCCCTTTTATAAGACATATATGGAGCTTGGAATTGCAATGCAACTAATTTGTAATTTGGCGGAAACAAAATGGTTGTATTTGAAATAATTGTTTCCAATTTGTAGCGAAGTATGTTTTGTTCCTTCACGGAGATACTAGAGTTGAACGTATATATAATGTTGTAATTTTGTTTAAATTCTGTTCCAAATTTGTAATAGAAACAAATAAGTTCATAAATAATTCAATATCTGAGTTGGTGTTGAATTGTCTGGACTGATTAGATTACATATTTATGTTATAATTGGTCATAAAATGTATGTTATTTTCTATAAAAGGAAACATTATTTAACATTTACCTGAAATTGCGTTAGACTGCCTAAGAAACTGAAAAGAATACCTTAATCTGACTCAATTCAACTAACTCACAGCAGTAGTAATCTATTTTTTGGTACAAATTAGACATATAAGTAGTAAATGAGTCAACTGAATGATGAAATCACTTATCAAACCAGTACGTTTAACGTGTAATTGTGTGCTTGTATGAAATTACGTTTATTAATATATATATACTTGGTAACTAATTAACCGGTTGGTAATTTTATAGTGTGCATATAGTGTCTTTTGTCTGATAACAAGATGATTATAGCTTTAAATAGTGGTCAGATGACATGTTACATGTTTTTTTGATGTTATAATAAGTAAAAATTCTGTGACATTTTGATGGTGTTTGATACAATTGAGTAAAATGCCACGTTTGCTAAGAGGCATTTTTAAGGTTTGTTCTTTTATAACATCCCTATTAAAAGTTGGGAAAAAGTAAGATTATGAAACACCTAATTACCAGCTTTAACTATTAAAGGTTTCACCGTTTTGTTTGAATATGTTGATAAGATACATGTATGTGTTATCATTTTCAATGCAAAAACGGCATGTACAGAAAATCACTTGATATATTTTGGTAGTATATTTTATATTGTAAGTAATAATATTGCCTACCACCTACATGAATTTTCATGCAATACATGTGATTTTATATATGTACATATATGTCTATTTAACCTGTTTAATTTATAAAACTATACCGATTCCACCTATCTTGTTACAAAATGTCATACTGCTTTTTCTTTACTACAGGATTTTCCTGGTTAGCCCAAGATTGTGGCGATGTTAATCACTTCATGTTAGATTTTAAACAACGCTGTATAGATATTAATATACAACACTGGAATAGTGAAATAAGTAACTCATCATTTCCCGTAAATTACAGTACATTTAGTCCCTTCTTCAACCTGAACTGTATATTTCCCGTGGGGCATTGAACAAAGATCTAATGCGAAAGTTAATCAAATCACATAACTTGAAGACACAAAGACACGGTTTTTCAAAGATAATGATTCCATGTAATGAATTAGTATGTAAAAAATGTAATTTAAACTTGCTTGAAGATGAATATCACATGCTGCTAATATGTCCATCTTATAACTTATGCAGATCCCAATGTATTCCAGCCTATTTCTACAGCCCACCTTCAATTGTCAAATTTCGAGCCCCTATGAGGATACAAAATATCCATGTTCTCAAAGGGATATGTATATTTCTGAAGCAAAACCTACGTTAACATGATTGTACTATCAATTATATTTCAACTCTACACACCATGACATTGTTGTGTTACCTGTTGTACTCTTGGCCACATGGCCTTCAATTCTGAAGAGAGTGATCTGAAGTGATCTGACTATTGAACAAACAAGTCTCAGTTCCATAACTGTGGTTGAGCATATTACCAAAGTGGCAAACGTCTGAGAACTGAGTTACTTCAGGCTTTCTTGACATTAAGCACTCGACATTTAATCACACTGAGTTAATGTGCCGTCATATAACTGGAATTCTGCTCACTACAGTGACATGATAGACCATGCCCAGGACGTAACCTTGGGAGCCTTCAGTCTTATACAATGTAAATGAATGTACAGTTTCTACTTATCGCATTTTGTATGGCAATTAAAGGCGACGACACAATATACAGAAATGTATCATTAAGTCCAAGTGACACAGAAAGTGAACGAAGATACGTGTACATTACCGGCGGTCCAGAATGTAAAGTGACCACTTTTGTAGGCGGCCTGGTTCATTTTATTAAATGCGTATACCAATCACACATATTCACTAAATGAAATTACGTTTGCCTGTTAATGAATATATTCTTGTAAATCTTTGATAAACCTCATTATTCCGTAAATATGCTTCTTTAATATATACTTCCTAAAAGAAGTAAAGAACATTTGTTTTCATATGGGTGTCTGCAGTTGACGTGGTGGGCATTGCATCACAGCCTTTATACTGTGGGTGTTAAGATGGGTTATGTAGTTGGTTGAACATGTTATGATTTGTGTAATTAGCAACACACCAGTAGAGATGAATAATATGACATTACATAATTAGTATGTATGTTAGCAATTATCATTCTCAATTATCCAGTGTAAATGCATTATATGTCTCTATTATAAACTTGATGTAAACATCGTCGTTTGAGTTGAGTAAAAATTCAAACTTTCTGTCATATTACTCATGAGTGTCACAGATTCGGCATCTGTTAGAGAAACAGGCCTTGGATGCAGATACTTTCATAAAACAGAGAAGACAGATTACACTGGGTAATGGAGAATGTTCATAGACTCACATAGTTTTTGCATGTCGCCAGGGAAGGTTGGACATTTCCGCATACATATTTATGACATGTGTTGTATATTTACCGTATGAAAACAGCTGATTCTTGTGGATGATGCAATATTGGTCTACCTTTGTATGTCACAACGCTTATTGAAGAGATACAACTTGCCTGTGTGTTTGACTGGATGTTGAACATTATTTACGTGTGGATTAAAATTTGTTAATTTGTTGTTTGAAGCTTGATCAGACGCTTTGAACGTCTTGATTTACTCGCCATTCATGTACAATGTGACATAGCCAACGGTTTGTACTGAAACGTGTTGTTGATATCTCATTAAACGATAAGCCCTGACGGGCTTACACTTTTCAAAACGTCTCGGCTTACCATTGCTGCTAAATAAGTGAACTAAATACTTTAAACAACCTGTTCTGGCTAACCTTGGGCAACGTTTCAACGCGATGTATGACATCGCGAAAGTGACTGACCTCGTCAGTGGCTTGATTTTGTCTTCCAGGGACAACTGCCAAAAGCTGTATGCAATCGTGCTCCTTGCCTGCGACCAGTACACGGGCCTGGAGCAGTGCTACCTCCATGGATGACACTGCCCGGGACACTTTGGCTATCCTAGAGTACGTATAAACAGATCCAATAAACCCAATAGATTGGGTTCAACAATGAATATTGGCCGTAATTGATATGCTCTTAATGATATATGAACAATACATATGAGACTTGAGAGTGTACTTATCCGCTATTCAATATTACTAACAATAACAGGTACTATCATTTGACTATACTACTAATCCGTTTTAATGTGGTAAAATCACTTATTTCTTATTCGTTTCATAATTTTGGTTTGGTTAGAATAATAATAATTAATAACCCATTCTAATATTACTGAATAAAAAGCAACCCAAACAGTAATACTAGTAGTACTAAGGGAAGAACAATATCGATTTACTAAACGGAATACCGATTTAGCCAACGTATTATGCATAGACTATTTAAGAAAGATGTGTGTGCTTTGTGTATGAAACAATGTAAAGATCAACTTTACCTCTTATACGACGTTTTAAATGGTATAGTTGTGAATATTCTGTGATTGTTTGGTACACTGTGTAATGTTAAATACTATATTTAGTTATCATACCATGTACGTTCCGTCCCATGCAATTTGATTTGCTGGCAGTTTTCTCTGATGTGCAGTTTTCTCTGATGTGCGGTTTTCATGGTAAAGCCGGTTACAGCGGTTGAATATAAAGCTCTATCGTTTATTAACCAATGCATTTCAAAGTATTGAACAATGATGAGGTTTATGTATAGTTGTACTACCTTAATTGCGATGTGTAGATATGTTCAAATGTTGAAAAAGTTGTTGTATGCACTAGTTAAGCTATTTGTAGGACTGTTAGAAATTTTATAGAGCATTTTTTCAATTTTTGCTTGTATGTTGACTTCATGCTTCGTATATAGAAGTGCAATTATTAAACATGTTTTCAATTTTCTTGATATTTGTGTTTTTCTCCATTAAGGGTGTTGGTGGTGTCCATGCAAGAACAGAAGATTAGGCACAGCTAGAAAATGCCTATCATTTCTATTATTAATGTTTGATTCTCTCCAATAATGACCCATACACGTGGAATGAATTTGAAGTCGGTTGGGGTTCTTATTGCAAGTGCCCTCACCTTCAGTTGCTACACTGTGATGCTTCTTACTCTTTACACCGGATCGTTGCAGTAGCTGCTGTACTGGTCGAGGGCGACCGTTTTCAAGGACGTCCATTACGGAGTACATCTGTCAAACTGACCATCAAGGGGAATCAGGTATTCACGCATGCTCATTGGGAGGTCATCTCAACCAAGTGGATTAGAAACTTACTCACATTATGAACCACAGGTGTACTTGGTCGAGGTCGTGCTACAGCTCGCACTGTTAGTTGGAACACAGAACGATGACGTAGTAGACACAGAACGGTGACGTAGTAGACCAACTTAAAATGACATCGCAACCTATTTCTAATAAGCTTGCCAAAGGGGCAAGACGTAACCACGAAACGTCGCTGTAGACAATAACGCAACGTTTGTCAAAGATATAATAAGGTAGTTTTTGTAGCAATATTGTGGTTTGCTTCATGATATAATACAGAGATAGGAGCTGTCTGGTGCAGAGTCTGTCTGTTGTTGCTGCCAACACAAACAAGGTGTCGTGTGAGCTGTCTGACACGCGTTTCAGCCTGGTAGCAGCTTAAACAGGAAACAGCGGGAACATTGCAAAATCACTTAAAGAAACAACTGTAACATAACATTTTTAAACAGAAAAGGAACTTGAACTTTGTATAGCAAGACACTGAGACTCATTTACCATAGTGTGTTGAGAGGTGACGAACAGTTCATTTCCACATATCAGACGAAATCTGTTTTACGACTCTGAGTACACAGTTATTATACGAACACGCAAATAGTGAGGATATCAGGTGTTTGAGAATGTTCAACACAATGTTTCAACACAGATTGACTATCAGAAAATAGTGTGATCCCTCTTGGTGTACAGTTTTGTGGAGTCTTGTGCTCAGATCTAACTGTGATACTGTTTCACTGATTTTTGTTTTGTTTCTGGTCCAGATGGGTAAATCAGTGGAAGGGAATTGGACCATTACTGGACGATATAAGTCTCTGCCAATATACCTGAATCTTAATTTAAACGTTTTAGCCAAGATCCCTTGTTTTCAGATTCAGAATGATAATGAAACAAATCCACAAGAAGGGAACACAACCGTCCCTACCTTGTTTGTAGCATGAATTATTATTATTCTGTAAGACTGGGTGTGATGACACATTTTTGGGGCCCTAAATTGTCTCTTCCTCTGTTGAGTTTGACTCCAATATCAAAGAAGAAAGGACATTTCTTTGGGTTTTAGATGACTAACAGAAAGGGATGGATTCTCTATCTGGAACGAAACATTTCTGCTAATCCGCCAGATGAGAAGCTCCTAACTAACAATACTGACACTATCAATTGGTTTCATCTTAGGTCTAACATGATGAAAAAGTTAACCATATTTTTTATATACCGATCATGTATAAAAACAAAAAAAAATTAAGGACAACATATTTATTGTTTGCAATTGTGGGTCTTGTCTTGACCTTATGAAGTTGTCAAGAAATAGTCTTATAAATGCATGTTCAAGGCTTTACATCTACATGTATCTACTTTAAGGTACGACATTGATATCGTATGAACGATACAGAGAAGCTAGTTTATCCATTTGAAATTAATCTAGGTATAGCATACGATCTATTACATATACTTATTATGTCTTCATCAGTTCTTATTCATATGAGTATGTTTGCGAGTGTTTGAGTGTCTCAGGTGTCGGGGTGGTGGGGTAGCCTAGTGGTTAAAGCGTTGGCTCGTCACGCCGAGGACCCGGGGTCGAATCCCCACATGGGTACAATGTGTGAAGCCCATTTCTGGTGTCCCCCGCCGTGATGTTGCTGGAATATTGCTAAAAGCGGCGTAAAACCAGTCAGTCTCAGGTGTCAAACTCAAAACTAATTTCACGTGACCAAAATACGATGCCTTGGAATTAACTTTTTGCACCATTAGTGCATCATCTTGATTGAACAAGCTCGCATTAACATGTTTTTATTTGTTGAAAAACAACTACTTGATTTTTGTTTCCAAATGGTATTCTCGTTGCACAGCGATCAACGTTATCGTGATTTTACTCTTTAAATAACGAGCATTTAAGCATCACCTCACATGCGTTTTACTCACAT